ATTCACCACCAGATGTCAGGGTAGAGCTCATCCTGACTCTGCTTACAGACAGAATTTCCTTTCACACACAGTAGGGTAAAATGGGTCCCCTTACCTTCAGGCCAGGGACCTCTAGTTTGATTACTCCTGGCATAGGTGTGTGTGACTTTGATTGGCAGGTGATTGCGAGAGGTGACTTTTCGAGTGATGGCCCACCCCCCCCACCCGCACACACACACACACACACACACACACACACCGGGAAGGGTTCCACGTGCCGAATCTTGCACAAAGCTGTGGGTGCAGCCTTAGGAGAAACAACAGGCTTAGAACAAGTTCTCAGTGGCTAGAGATCTGGAACACCCAGCCTGTCGCTTGGCGTTCCGAAAACCATGCTGCACCTATGTAAGATCTGCTGCAGCTCTTTTTGATCTGCTCTAGCCTTCTTGAAAGCACTGATGTCGATAAGATCGTCAGGTGCCGTAAGCTGACACAGCTTCATTGACTTCAGTGGAGTGATGCAGATTTATATCAGCTGAGGAGCTGGTCCATATGTGCGGAAATAAAAGTAGGAAAATATCCTGGAGCTACATCTACTCATCTCTCCCCCAACAGGGATATGACTCAATCCAGGGACCTGATTCTCCTTTTAATTTACATCAGGTTTACCTCTGTAATTCCACCGCCTCCAATGGCACCATACCTGATTTATACATGTGTATATATGAGAGGAGAATCAGTCCAAAACCCTCTTGATTCCTTGCAAGCCAGACCAAATCCACACTGAACTTGTGAATGTATTTGAAAATCTGTAGCTATCAGGCACTTGCCCACCAATTTGCCAAAGGAGAAGAGGAATTGTTTAGGGTGATCCACTTGGTGGAATGTAATTCAGCAAAGGAAATGAAGGCTACCGTTTCCCGACATTGAAGTGTCTTTGTTGAATAGTCTCAGGAGGGAAGCAATGGAAGGTCCATTGCTGGAAGCACTGGAGAGCATGCTGTGTAGGGAATAATCTTACACTGCCCAAGAGAAACGGACACAATCTAATTTCCATCTCTAACTTCCATGAGCTGTGTCTCCTTTTTAGGAGCACTCTTGTGTGTAGCTTTTTGTAAGGGTCTCTGTGCATTAATGACTGTTGATGGGTTGTTCTAGAGCTTACTGTGAAGTCTGGGATCAGACTCTTCTCTTTGCTGTATGAAGACTTTATCCCATTAATATGCCTGTGGGTTTTTAGCTTTTTACGAACACCTGCTGTGTACAGAACTGGGCCTAGCTGTATGTAAAAATAGCTGTGCACCAACCCCCAAAACATCATCATTCATACTGCTTTGGAGGAGCTAGGAATGAATCAGGTTTTTGCTGGATTTGCAAAAATAGAGAAATTGGGGGGGGGGGGTTTGTACTCAGAATTTTTCACTGAATTCTCATAAGTGACAATAGCTCTCTCTGGATAGATTTACCAGTCTGAGAGGAGTTTTTTCTAGGCTGGTTCACATACATCCTTCACCTATGGAAAGTGGAGATCAAATTTGAGAAATTTAAATGCATTCTGAGCTCTTAACTTAACCTGGGGGGAGATTATCACTATTCAGTTCTAGTCTTTATAGGTTCTTATACCACTCTCATCACCATAGTATCTGAGCGCCTTCCAGTTGTTAAGCAATGTTAAATGATGTGACTAATCTGCCTGGTGTGGTTCCTTCTCTTTCTCGCTCATCCTCGCCCCAGTGGGAGAATTGTGCAGGTTACTGAGTAGTTTTTGTTTTGGTAGGGTTTTGGTTTTTGTTGGAGAAGTCAGGTCCTCAAAGAGTGACTGGAAGTTGGAGCAGAATGTGGCAAAGCCACTAACAATCACATGTCAGCCAAGCACAACTCTCATCAAAGCAAAGCCACATGCCCAAACTTCCCACTGAAGTTTGTACAGCCAGTCTGAATTCTTGAAAATGAATGCTACTGCTTTCCCTCCCCCGCCACACCTCCATTTCACAATTTTGCTCTACAATAGGCATGTCTTCATGAAGGAAGTGGCCTATTTCCAAGCGAAAACCGCAATTCTGTAAATTTCTAAATTCTAACCTCCCTTTGCATGATATTCAATTTGTAATGAAAGCCAGTGACAGTCAAAATCCAGCCTGCCTTTGTACTGTAAACAACCAGGTTGCTGAAATTTCATGGAAAATGACATTTCTGGGTCACATAATGGAGCCGAATGAAGTGATTAACATTTTGGCATTAGACTTCATAAAAACAAGTATCACTCTTGCCAACTCTGCTCCCAACCTCCAGGAGGCCTTTGCACCTGATCCTTATGAAACCTGTGGGAGTTTTTTCCATTGAACTTCAATGGGAGTGGATCCTGGCCTTTAAAGTGGGACAAAGACACGACCAGGGATAGAAGACTTGTCTGTGTCCTAGTCTCATATTGCTATCTCAGCCTTTCTGCTGCGCACATACAGTGATAAAAGAGGAGAGGCCAACAGGTCTGTGGGGGATGGAGGTAAATCTGGGTCTTTAATAGGAAGCCTCATGCCTCTTGAGTTGGAGCATGGCTGAGAGATGCAACTCAGCCTTTCCCTGTCTTCCAGGAGACAATCTAACCCTGCCTTTTAAAAAGCCTTTAACCCTCTGAACAAAGCTAAACATCGAGCAGGAGTTCAAAAAGTGGCTTTTAAACAGTCAGAGGTGGGGGTTGCAATTTAATGGCTTCCCTCTAACGATTGGATGAAGTGAGCCGCTATCGATAAGCTTATGGATGTAGTAGTGAATTTACCAAGCTATGCGGAGGGTGGGGCTGATCCCTTTCAAATGGTTCAAAATAATACACTTGCTTGGCAACCCCATTTAAGTTGCGTGCCTGAAAAAATCCGATGACCCAAGGAAGGTATCCCATGCTTGGGAATTGGCCAGTACGTAGATTGTGTGTCAGGCCATAATCTCGGCTTCCATCTTGTTTGTTCCAAGTATGGAAGTAGCAGGATCCCCGGGTTGTCTGATGTCTGGGTTTTCAAATGAGCTGTCCTGTTGGACTGCATTGGTAATGGAATTTTGAGCCCTTTCCCCTGCAGGCTGTGAGTACAAATGGGGAGTGACCAGAGATGGGCCCGTGCCACAACATTTTTGATTTGGGTTCAAATTTTGAAAATTTGCAATGGGGACTTTGGTTTGGGTCTGTCTCTGGTAAATCATTTACTATCTTCAGTGGTCCATGTGACGTGAGCTGATGCTGGTCTCAGTCCAGGGGCCAGTGTCTACTTCACCAGAACTACTGCCATGTCTAGCACTAATTAGACCCCACACTGGCAGTCCCAGCAGATAGACCAAGGACTGACTGGACAACAGAGATTGATCCTCTCTCAGGATTGAGGCTCCTTGGAAGGGCAATGTGGATAAGTTTGCGTTGTGTTTAAATTGGCCATCAGTCCCCAGGACAGTCTGTCCAGCACCTTTCAACAGCAGGGAACTTTATTAATAAAATAAAAACCAATCGAAGAACTAATAATGGACTATTTTGGCCAAAACTCCTGAGCCAGGACTCTTCGATTGCAAAGGGGAACCGCAGCCGACTCGCCTTCAGACCTGTTTGGAGGAGGTAACCCTTGCTGACCATCTGTCTGTCTCTTTCCAGGGGGAGTTGTTGAGCCCGTGTCGATGCGATGGATCGGTGAAATGCACGCACCAGCCTTGTCTGATCAAATGGATCAGCGAGAGAGGCTGCTGGAGCTGCGAGCTGTGTTACTACAAGTATCACGTCATTGCCATAAGCACAAAGAACCCTCTGCAGGTAAAGGTACTAGAGACATTTCAAAGTTTTCTTTTCTGTTGTTATCAGTAGGTCTGTGTGGCTCTCCCTGCACTGTGTAGAGGGATGTATGGATGGGCTCTTTACAAAGTGGAGGAGGGCTGGTTCAAGCCCCCACCAGGAATCTGTTCTTGCTGCCCCCTGGCATTTCCAGAACCCATTCTTCTCGGTCTAGCTTACTTATCAGGCCCTCATTGATGTAGCATTTGAGCACCTCACAAATCCTCTGTGAGGTAAGGCAGAGCTATTTATCCCCATTTTACAGCTGGGGAAAGAAAGCGGAGAGAGGCCAAGTGACTTCCCCAAGGTCACACAGGAAGGCTGTGGTAGAGTGGGGAATTGAACCTGGGTCTTCAGAGTTGCACCCTAACCACTAGTCCACCCCACAGCCCAAGCTTGCCTGCTCTGGTCCCTAATAGGCCCTTCACCCGCTTCTGGTTTGCATGTCATCAGGGGTATTGGAGCCCATCACTGCAGACTTGAGGTTCCACTGGCCTGAGCCTTGTGCTGTATGAGTTAGGTGTCCGTCACAACCAGATCCGAATGGTAGCTTTTGATATCCACTTTGCCCCGGTGTAAATGACTGTAAGAAGCAGTGGAAAATTGCACTTCCTTTCCTCCGATTTCATGAGCTCTGGTGAGTCTCCAGAGATGGAAATTTCCCTGAGTGCATTGCCCCCAAATCTAACTGTGAGGAGGCAACATACTTTGAACACACGACTAAGACTCGAGAGACCTGGATTCTGGTCCTAGTTCTCCCTCAACCTACTGTGTGGCCGTGGGGCATGATTTAGTTTCTCCATGCTGCAGCTTCTCCATCTGTAACACGGGGGTTATGGTTGTCACTGGCTTATTGTTATTTGGACAGTGCCCAGAGGTTGGCGAGTTGCTACCCACCTTGGAGTGTCTCAGATGCCAGGCACCGCATTAGAGCAAGGTATTAATAGTTCTTCTTCAAGGGCTAGTCTGTGTAGCTATTCCACTGCTATTGAACTCAGGGGAATCGGAGCCGGCACTAGGCATTAGCAGACTAAGCGATTGTTTGGGGCCCCCTATTTGCTTTTTATTATCAGAACTTGCCTGTTTTAGTATGGGGGGAGCAGGGGCGGCTCCAGGCACCAGCGCAGCAAGTGCGTGCCTGGGGCGACAAGCCGCGGGAGGCAGCCTGCCGGTTGCTGTGAGGACGGCAGTCAGGTGGCCTTCAGCGGCATGCCCCTGCGGGAGGTCTGCCGGTCCCGTGGTTTCGGCAGCAATTCGGCAGCAGGTACGCCGAAACCGCAGGACCAGCAGATCACCCGCAGAATCCGCGTGACCGCGGGCGGTCCGCAGGCACACCGCCAAAGGCCGCCTGACTGCCGTGCTTGGGGCGGCAAAAAACATAGAGGGATATTCCTGCATAGCGCCCCCTGTGGGCTAGCACTGGTGGGAATTTTTGCCACTAACTTCCAAGGGAGAGCAGAACTGGTGCCTAGGATTTAAGAGGGATTTAAATAAAGTACATGGGACTCATGTGGCCATTACAGGAGTGAATTCTACCCTGGAAGGAGTTCTCCTTGCTCCATGGCTTCTGACACTTGATTTTTACATGCATTGGGCTCAGGTTGTCAGCACTTTCATCACAAACCCAGAGCCCCAGGAGTTTAATTTCTTGGCTCAGATACCTTGGTCCAGACTGAAACTCGAGAGGGAGGACTTGGACAAAACTGTACGGTATTTTTTAAAGCTGTTTTGCATGTGCCTGAATGTGGCAGGTATCTCAGATCAGAGGCTGATGTTAGGGTCCTGTAACAACACAGATAGTAACGCTTTGTGCTGGCACTGTGGTAGTACCTTTCCTCTGAGGAGCTCCAAACGCTCTGTAAAGCTCAGAGACACAAGTTAAAGATTTAGACCCGGATCCTCAGCTGGTGTAAATTGGCATAGCCTCTTTGAAGTGAAAGAGACAAGTGCCCATTCCCCAAGCTGCAGAAACACTGCGCTTTTTCGGAAGCTCTTTGAAAACCTGGCCTTATTAAACTCTAGGCAGCTGTTGCCACGAACATAAAAAATGACCAGGCGATGGCAAGAAAATAACAGAGCTTAGAGCTGTGTGAAATGATCGCAACGGAAAGTGGAAACCGTGAAAAATGTGAGGCATCCAAGTGTTTGTTTGGACTTCACAAACATGCTGGAAACATTGAGACTTTTTGCTTATAAATAGGAGCAATTTGAATTAAATACAATATATCATAGGGTTAGAAGGGACCACAAGGGTCATCTAGTCTAACCCCCTGTCAAGATGAGGATATACATTCACAACTGAAGGCCTGAAGAACTATATATACAGTGCATACTCACATATACATCCCACTAGCCCTGAAATACATACACATCACTCCATAGCAACATACACGGTTTCATACCCCCATAAGACAGACACACACATTCAAATAGTCACTCACATAGATGCACACAGAAGCCCAAATATTGAGGTCCATACATGATTTCATGCAGACAGATGTCTACATACACACGCATGGGCCATACAGTAAAAGAACAAGATCAAACCCTACAGCTGTTGATTTGTGCGTGCTAATTGCTATCTGGAATTTACATGCCTTTGTCCTTAGCTTAAAGCTCTGACTTTCCCAAGCTTCAGTGTTTAGGTACGGTTCTGTAGAAAGCCAGGGAGCTCTGAAGTCCTCTGTTTATCCAGAGAACAGGCATGACACAGGTAATGACAATGTGAGCTCTCACTACCCTGCCAATGTGCATCAATTTTGACTTGGAGGGTCCACTGCTCTGCTCCCCACAGCCCATTTTGTCCTTGGCCTCTCTGCTAAGATGCCAGTTTTGTGGCCTGGACATCGATCCATTAGGCCTGGACTGAGACCCACCCACTCATTTCACACAGGCCACCAAATGAAATGGCTTTTGACCACTGGAATGGATTTGAACCAGTGACCTGGAGGTGACATAGCCTCATGGCCCACTACCAACATCCTGAGTCACCGGGGCCCATTTTAAACCCAGGCATAGCCTTAGGCAACCTGCGGGTACTGTTTTCCTATGGCAAAGACTGTATCAAATCGCTGAGTGTACTTTGCATTTGTGTGCATGTGTATTTCAGCAGATCCTCTGTGTGTGTGTGTGTGTGTGTGTGTGCGTGTGTGTATTTCATTGCATACTGTATGTACTCAGAATATATGTTGAATTGCACAGTGTACTCCATGTATTTCAATGTGCGTGTGTGTGTGTGTACTTGGATGGGAGACCTACATAGACGGTAGGCGCATGTGGAGAGTTGTGTTAGGGGCAGAGAAGCTACAGCAAGGGAGCAGAGCTCATATTTAATTAACCAGATTCCTTACGACCTCTGAGCTGCTATGATGCTTCCATATCAGACAGCATCTTGTATGCACCGCTTTTAAATGACCCCTCTGGCACTGGCTGCTGGGATCTCCCAGCGTTAAGTGAGAATGCCTTAGAGCTGCAAACCTGCCAAGGCCAGGGGATTAAAGTCAGAGAGAGTGAAGCTCAAGTCTCCAGTCCAACCTGCCAGGTGGTAGCTGCTTAGTCAGTGAGCAACAGAGGCGCTTCCAGGAGCTCAGAGCGGCTGGGTGGCCTGTTACCCTCACATCAGTGAACCTGGTAATCCCCAGTGATGGGTAAAGCAACCCTAGGACGACCAGGTCGCTTTAATCCATTCCCTACTGGGGTCTGTTGCAACATTTATGCAGGGCTATATTGTGGATGGGATCTTTAGTGTCTACAAGGTCTGAACACACAGGGTATGTGAAACATAGGGCAGCATTGCAGGCGTGTTTTGCACTACATATCTGCCACATTGGGCATCCCCAAAGTGGTTATTTGTGGAGCCTGATTCTGCTCCCATTGACACTGCTGTTTAACTCCTTTGTCTCAGGGGAGTCACTCCTGATTTACATTAACTGTATCTAAGAGCAGAATCAGACTCTTTGTTTTTAGCAAAAATAAAAAAACAGACTCCCAGATCCAAAAGCTTCTGAACTTTGGGGAAGTTAAAATCCATCCACAGATGTCCCTGGTGCCCCCTCTGCATAATGGGTCGCCTGACCCCCTGTTCAGAACACCCAAACATTTGGGGAGTGTTCAAATTAAGATTCTGGTCCTGATTCTCCTCTCACTGGCACTGGTGTCATTCAGAAGTAACAATGCTGGAGTAAATGAATATTTGCTCAATGTCTGCCCTTCATCAGGGGTACTGCATCCACATGAAATGTATCTGAAACCCGGGAGTCTCCCAATCCCAGACCTAACTCCTGGGCAAAAACCCAACGGCGAGGAGATTGCTGGAAGTGGCAAGGAGAGCCGCAAAGGAGTTACTGCCTCTGTGGCAAACAGCTTGTCATCACATTCACTAAAGAACCAGAAAAGAAAACACACCACCCACCACAAGCTGCAGAAGGAGGGTTATAGAGGCCCTGGGAGAGCAGTAACATGCTTTCTGCATGTCTGACAGGACATCAGAAGTGCTGCAAATGACCAGCTGTGTATCGCCAGGAAAATCTCCAACTATTTGTATTTTTCTCGGAATCTGAAAATGGATCTGTTCAATAGCGAGGCCCTGGATCCTCATAATTATAAAGGAACTTGTCAAATCCTGTAATAAACTAACCTGGCTGAGGCTGGGGTGGGAGAGCTCGGGGCAGGAACTAGAAAATCCTTCCTCGGAAGCAATGTTCTCCGTTAGAGGCGTATAGATTTTCTTTGGCTAATTATATGGCCTGATTCTGCTCTCCCTAACAGATGTTTGTAAATCCAGAGATCACGGGAGTCAAACCGATATGAGAATCAGACTAAGCATAGAGACTCTATGGGTGCTCCGGGGCTGGAGCACCCACAGGAACAAATTTGGGTGCTCAGCACCCACCAGCCATCAGCTGTTTGGTGGCTGGGGGGAGTGGCCTGGGGGAGAGCAGAGAGCAGTGACCGGATGGCAGGCGGAGGCCTTGGGGGAGGGA